AGGAGGCTCAAAGACTTGCTGAGAAGCTCATTACACTGGCGAAGAGGAATAATGAGCCCTGCAAAAGGTCCGCCCAGGGCATTCTATACGTTGGTCTCACCGAAATCGAACATCGAAGTCGAATGATTTCCACTAACACTTTATTTCTTTAGACTCCCCATCTTCTCCTACCGAAGCTCTTCGGCGAGCTACGAGAACGCTACTTGACACGCGAGGGTGGTTATACCCGTGTTGTTCGTACAGAGCCTCGCTCCAGCTACGACCAGGCCGAGACCTCCATCCTTGAGTTCGTCGACGGTCCCAAGGATACCCGCTTCATGATGACGGCGAAGACAGTGGCCAGAGATCGTTTATTAGGCCGAGACAGCACCCCTGTAACAAGGACGAACATCAAGAAGGTCACTCAATTCCGCGGCAACGATGCATTTGAAGATATGGTGCGCCGATTTATGGTGATGAGCACCCAGGACCCAGATTCTACCCCTGCCTCCAAGCAAGAGTCAGAGTCTCTCAATGCCGAGTCGGATGAGATTGCAGAGAAGGAGAGCCATAAGAGCGCCACTATGGGCCCCATTATTGTGCCCAGAGCACACAAGAAGGCAGCAGCCAAGACTACACAGTCATAAAGCGAAATGCTGAGCTGGGGATCAAGCATGTATTAATACTATGGGTGTAGGTAGTGCTACATCAATTCTGTATGAAGTGTGTATATATAAATGCAATCTATCGGGCCTAAGCTGGTACCATTTTCCAAACAACTTAACGCCTTTATCGGAACAGTGTTGGATAGTTGTTAATCCCTCCCACTTGCCGCGGTCGTAACCAATGATGTATATGGGCGGTATGATGCAAGGCTAGAACCCAAAAAGTTCCGTTCTAATTTAAACAAAATCAAACGTGTCTCCCCTCTCCTGAATCATCTTTCCTACTCTCTTTGAGCCAGCAATCCTCTCGAGCTTCATCACGTCATACTTGGAAAAAATGACACGGATGTTCCCTTGCCCCGGCTCAAGTCTCATGTCTGCCTCACTCTTGGCCAAATAGCCGCCAGCAATCTCGTTGTAGAAAACCGGATTGTCGGGGAGACTGTAAAATATGACCCTTTGCACGCCACGGAGTTGATATCGTCGGAAGTGGTGTGCTCGCTCCGTATATAGAAGCACGCTATGACGGCCGTTCAAAAAGTGAGAGCGAGCTCGAGAGGCTTCAGGGACATCTGCGTACTCCGAAATGGCGCCAAATGGTATGCTGCTAACTTCTTGATCGTTCGCAAAATAATTTCGCACGCGTACGAAATCAAGGTAGGAAGAAATGAAGATGATGGTCCCCGTAGCATCTTTACTCCTCTTCACCAACGACGGAATGATGGTCGATGTGAAATATTTGAATCTGGCATCAGGATCCTTGTCAACCGAAGGTGATTGGAACCGAGAGAATGTTTGCTTGGCCTTGATTCCAAGCTGCTGAAGAACCCCGGGGTATTCGATTTGCAAACGGCTTTTGCCAGCCCAGTTCTGGCAGTGGAGGCGGAACAGCTCTGTCAGCTCGGGAGTATTGAACGCAGAGAGCACGACAGTTTGGCGGAAATGCTTTGCCCAATCCTCCAGATACCAGCTCCTAACACGGCTGAAGTCACAGTCATGAGCATCTTTAGGCTGAAGATTCAAGCTCTCAAAGATTGACTCAACGTGCTCCCAATTCTGCATCAGCAGTGCGTCGCTCTGGTCCATCACAACCAGCTCAATAGAGCTGAGGAAGTCATAATCAACCTTCTTCTTATCTTCTTCCGAGCCAATCGCCATTCGAAGACCCAAAGGACTGGCAAAGAGGATATCCGAACTATAGAATGGTGCGAAATATTTAATGGTTTTCCGCGTAAACTTGATACCCAATCGGAACATGTCGTCGTCATTTCCCTCGAAGAGTTCGGTGAAATCTGCCGGTTTGTCGTCGCCAAATGTGTTGGATTTGTCAATGTAAGAGTCATCGAATCGCTTACGGTTTTCCTGCTGATCAGCCTCGTAGAGATCTCTGATGATGTTTACGATCTGGGCGCACGAGTTGCGAGTTGGGAGCAAGAATAACACTTTGGGGCGTGTAAATCCCTGATCTCGCAAATCTAGATCGGAGTTATCACTCTCCTTTGCCAACTTATAGTTGTTCTTTATTACTCGGTCTCTTGTCCTGTTCTTGGTTAGTCGGCACAAAAATCATCGAACTCGTTGAGAGTACTTACTTGAGCACATGATTCAGTGCATGAAGGCAGGTAAGCTGCCTCAATTTATGCGCATTCCGGACATTTCGATCACAGAGAAGAATATCTTGGTATCCAAAGAGGAAGGAGCTGAATGCCTTCGCAGTGTCGTCCAAGTCCGAAAGATGCCTACTTGCCGTCTCCCGCAATTTACGCTTGAGTTTGAGGTCGCCCACTGACAGAGGTCGAGGAGTATCAATGGCCGCGTCGGAGCCAGGACTCATCAATGTCGCCCGCCAAGGTTTGATAACTGCCCGCTTCGTAGTCCATTCGCCTTCTTTGGCCGCTTTGACCCGTTTTGAGCTAACATCTGCATCAGGGTGTGCAAAGTGGGTGTCGAAAGGATCTGTTAAATCTTCCTCATCGTCAGAGTCCTCTTCTGGCTGTTCTTCGATTTCGCCCTCAGCGTCCTCTACTTCGTCCGCCTTGTCAATGTCTTTGGTTTCATTATGCTCTTCTTCAGAATCCTCTTGGTTTTCAGAATCCGAAATTTCTGCCTTTGGAACATCAACTTTCGATGAATTATCCAACTTGCGTCTCTTTGCTTTGGGGCTATCGCTGTCTCCAAAACCTTGAAGAAGAGCCATGTAAGGCCGAGTAGTGGGCTTTTCTTCAGACTCGGCATCTGAATCTGAGTCCGCATGAGACTCAGCTTCTTCAACATCAGAATTTTCATCCGATTCAGATTCTGATCCAGACTCCCTTTTCACCATTGTTAGCTCTTCTGCAATTCTGGAATTTTTTTTGGGAGGCATACTCTTCCTGATCAGCTAGCCGAGCACCATCAAAGCGCCTCGTAGGTCCAAATCGGCTGGTTGCTCTACCACCACGCCCACGCCCACGAACTCCTCTTCCACGCCCTCCTCGCCCTCCTCGCCCTCTAAAATTACCTCCTCTTCCTCGTGGTCCCATTTCAGATTATGAAGAGCCGTATACCCCTGTGCTTTAAAATTGATGGGTTGGAAATTAGGTCTCCTTGCCTCTAACAATCACACCTAGTAAAAAAAAGTTGGACGCTATCTAAGATTTCATCAGCCTTGCAGATGGCCCATATTTGCTGAGCCACAGATGGCGGGGCATGTTGGAACAGCCACAAATCTATTCCTTATCTTATCAACGCGCACACAACCCCCCAGCCCACTCACCCACACACAACGGGTGAAATTTTGTGAGTATCGGCTCGCGAGTAAACGAGACTGGACGCTTGAGTCGCCTCCACTTCTGGGGACTTCAATCTTGGATCTTGCAACCTCACCACACCCCCCCGACTATCGATCTCTGCCCAACATGGCCGCTGCTACTGAGAGATTCATCCATCTCTCGCGCCCTCTGGCCGCTACCAGCGCTGGTCTGCAGACCAACATTGCCCCGCTCACAGTCAACATCCAGCCACAGGTACCCCTCGCCCAAGCTCAGCAGACGATATCCCTTATGTCTCATCTAACCAAAATCTCCTCTGGCAGGCTGTTCTGTCCATCCTCGACCACGCCGTACGACGAGATGCCCGCGATCCTTCCCAGCCCAGCCGCGTCATTGGTGCCCTCGTGGGCGTCCGATCTGAAGACGGCACCGAGGTCGAAGTCCGCTCCTGCTTCGCCATCCCGCACACCGAGGAGGAAGACCAGGTCGAGGTCGACGTCGAGTACCAGAAGAACATGCTGGCCCTGACCCTCAAGGCCAACCCCCGCGAGTCCCTCCTCGGCTGGTACACCACCTCCCTCGAGCTCAACAACTTCAGCGCCCTGATCCAGAACTTCTTCGGGAGCCCCGACACTGGCACCTTCCCCCACCCCGCCATCCACCTCACCATGTCGACGGACCCCGGCGAGAGCATTGAGACGAGGTGCTACATCAGCGCCCCCGTCACCGTCAACGTCGACCGCGCCGCCGAGTGCTGCCTCTTCATGCAGGTGCCCCACAAGATGCTGTACGGCGACGCCGAGAGGAGCGCCCTCGGTGCCATCGCCAGCGCAAAGGACTCGGAGACCAGGACGGCGCCCCTCATCTCCGACGTCGAGAACCTCGGCCAGGCCCTCGAGCAGACCATCTCCCTGCTCGACAGGGTCAGCGAGTGGGTCAACGGCGTCCTGGACGAGGACGAGGAGCCCAACAACGCCCTGGGCCAGTACCTCATGAGCGCCCTCTCGCTCACCCCCAAGGTCGATGCCTCCCAGATCGAGCACGACTTCAACAACCATATCCAGGACGTCCTCATGGTCAGCTACCTGGCCAACACCATCCGCACTCAGATTGACTTGTCTCAACGCTTAGCTACGGCCAACATTGTTAGCGTTGAGAAGGAGGGCGAGAACAAGGGTGAGGGAGAAAAGAGTGGAGGTCAGCGCGGCGGCAAGCGTGGCGGCCGTGGTGGTGGCCGTGGTGGTGGTCAACAGAGGGAGCCCAGAGAGCCCAGAGAGCCTCGGGAACCCACGGAGTAAGGGTATTTCAGGTAGGTTTGGCGGGGATGGTAACGTTTACGTGAGGTTCAATGAAGGCTACGATCCATGTTACCTATAAAAATCATTCGGGCGTTGTGGTTAGCCGGTTTATCGGCTTGGGACATATAGATGTGAACAAATGAAATTCATTTATCACTGAAATGTATTTTACTTGACCATGACGAACAATATTGTTAATTTTATCTATGGAGCGCCATAGCCGAAAGGAAATATGCATATCATTAAAGCCGCCCTATCCACCAAAACGCCAATGTCTGACTAGGTAATACAAAGCCAGCCGATAATTCCTAGATGCCAGTGGCAGGCTTCTGTGGCAAAGTCGCCGGATTGCCGTAGGTGGGCAAGTGACCAAACATTTGATGCGGCGGTCCACTCGGGCGATTTGGCATAGCAGTCGTCATGTTGCCTGGTGGGTGTTGAATAGGGCCATGATGCGGATTCTGAGGGGGAGGAGGGTGTTGAACATAAGCGGCCGTTATGGGTTGGTGACTGGCATAGCCCGGAACGGAGTGATTAGATGCTTGTCGGATCATACCATAACCACCACCATATGGCTGTGGGGTGCCGCCTTGCTGGTATTGAGGGAAAGCGAGATGTGGTGATCCAATTTGGGGACTTCCGGTGTGTGACGTTGGCGCAGTGAAAGGGGGCTGAGGAGGTGGAACCGGCTGGATAGTGTTGCCGCCTGGAATAAAGGATTGGGTTTTGGGATTGAAGGAGTGGTTCCTGTTATAACTCCCAGGGATGGGATGTTGGGTCTTAGGGTCATGTGGGTTAAGGTTCGCTGGTAACTGCCCAAAAGCATAGGGAATTCCCATGTGTGATTGAGCAGTCGGAGGTACACTTCCACGGCTTTGGGGCCCATTGGGATTATAACCCGGTTGCCACGTTTGGGGCTGCGCACTTGCAGTGGCTGGAGCAGCCGGAGCAGGAGATCCATAAGAGTTCATAGGGCTGCCATGAGGTGGGTATCGTTGCTGTTGCACTTGTTGTGGTGGTGGGTACTGGGCCTATTCGTCAACACTTGTGCTGGTCAGACTGATTGTGGGAGCACACTTACTTGTGCCATTTGATAATTAGGATACCCGGGGCTCAACACCATCCCAGATACAGCAGGATACCCTGTGTTTTGCTGAGTATACACCGGTGGCATTTGTCCTGGAAACGGCTGTGATGGGGGCCCTGGGTTGCCTTGAGGCGGGGCAGTTTGTTGTACCCATGTCTGCTGTTGAGGGCCCCAGTATGGGGTATAATGGTTTCTTGAATCAAAACTGTCCGAGTCGTCGCGCCTTTGTCTACCACTCTTTCCCCTTTTTCCAAGGTTAGACCGGTTTGCAGAGACAGAGCTGGCTCGCGACACTCCATTGTCACCATCTCCATCTGTCTCGTCCGTTAGCAGGGGCGACAATACAATGACCCAGTACGAGCACATACCTGTTGGGGTGTCCTCTGAGCTGCCAAAAATCCTCTCTCTTGCCAGTTTATATATCTCTTCCCGCTCTTCCCGGGTGAGCCTGGTCTAGTTAGCGGTGCCCGGAACAAATTTCGGGGGAATTGGTCAAGTACTTTTGGTTGCCTTGCTTATCTTTCCCGTCCTTGCCATCACTTCCATCTTCAGAGGTGGGCTTAGAAGGGCTGGCGCTGATGAGATCACCATCCTCAACTTGCCCACGCCTCATGATCTTCTTGGGCGCAATCACAGGTGGGGGTGTGCTGCTGCTGGACTGGTTTGGTGCTGTGTCCCAATGTACTAGGGAAGTTGGAACCCGGCAAAAAGGGGTCCTGAAGATTCGCACAGACCCGATGTTTGGCTCGAAAGAATGGGTCATGTGGTAGTAATCCGCCAGTTTATGAGTCAACATTCGACAAAATGAATTTGATGGCGGGAGATCCATGTACGGTTCCCTAGAATATGGTTGGTTAGCTCAGGTACTGGGCGGGAATAGTATTGAGGGTAAACGAACTTGGAATTCTGTACAAAATCGATTACCTCCTTCTCCAACTTCAGAAGAAAGAGTCTATCCTTAGAGGAAGTCAGTGCCTCTATAAGTTTCTCGTCAGGGGCGTGCCGATATATCAAGTTCAAGGCATCGGGGTTTCCTTCGCCACTAGGTAACGAAGACATTCCTGGTCGAGCATTCGGATGCTGTTCAGACGATGTACTCTGTGGGGTCAAAACCCCCTGGCTAGAGCTGCCTGGTGTGATGTGCAACAGCCGACGTTCTGAGATATCGCCCATTTGTACGCCTCTAGCTCGCAGGGCAAGATCGGAATCCATCCGGGAACCTGCTCCGAGAGATCCACGAACGGAAAACGCATCATCGTCCTCTCCAGCTGCCTTGACACTAGCACTATCATCGGGACGAAGAGACTCTTTCTCATCCAAGGCAAACGTCGTTCCAGACGTGATGCTCTTCCCATCTAAGCTTGGGGGCTTCGTTCCAAGCTCAGAGTTTGAGTCTGCCCTCTGAGATTCATCAGAGCCATTGTCTCTGCCGATGGCTGCTTGCTGCCTATCACCCACTGCAGCAAGAACTCCGTTCACGGGAGACACGCCGACATCTTTTGGTTGCAAAGTGAGGTTCCCGAGCGAGCTGGTGACGTTATCAACCACCAAATTTCGAGGTTGTGTCAACAAAGACACTCGACCAGGCGTATTTAACGTCCGTTCAGCATTGGCAATGCCTGGGCCTGCTACAGGCGGGATCGCGCTCATCTTGGCAGAGGTTTCCTTCAATGTATTCGCAGTCGAAGAAGAGAGGATACCAGAGGAGTGTTCAGCTGTGACTATCGCGAGTACCTATATCAATACAGAAGTCAAGAGTCAGCTCAGCCTATAACGTACCTAGGAGAACACCGTCGTGCTACATACCTTGGTAAGAGATGGCACTTGCAGCCCTTCTTGCGTCCCCTAAGTCACTGGCTCGAGATACCACAAAAAGAGATTATATATCCAAGGTTGTTGAGAACAGTTTGCTGTTCGGTAGGAGGATCAACACCGGGACAAACGCCTCTAGTCGCAGCAGGCCAGGTCGGGAGGATGGAAACGAAAAGGACGGAAAATAGATGTAACAAGATGAGACAGCCAATTCAAGCAGACGAATCGAACAATACGGGCCAGTATAAAGAATGAGAAGTACCGGTTTTCATCGTCGTGACAGGGGGTGCTGCATCTTTTCTGCTTTTTCCCATTCGGTGAGACCTTCGTTCGCGGATGTGATGATGATTGCTAACTGAGGGGCCAAGGCTTTAGTCGGTCAACTTCGCTAATTAATGGAAATGGGTAAGGCGGGTGCAGAACCCCAGGGTGTTGATGGGGCGAACGGTGAACAAGTCCAAAGAGCATTCCCAGGACAGCATATGGGCTCTTGGCCGAGAGATGGAGTGGGATGTTATGTATGGAGGTGGTTGCTCGAGAGTTCAGGGGAGAGGAACACAGGGCGCGCAAGAAGTAGTGGCTAACAGCGTACCGTATTCCTGTTTTGGTTCTCCGATAGAGGGTACAGGTGGGTGTCGCAATAACGAGGCAACCGATGTGAGAGTGAGAGCTCAGTTAAGGCGAAATTCGGTGGCCTTGGTGGTGGGGAGCCAGTATGCACACAATGGTCAAGGCGATGCCATCAGACCGGCGGTAGTGGTTGGGCTGACAAGGGCGCTTTGCTCCTCGAGGAATATGCACAAATCGGCAGGCAGGCACCGGTGCAAAGAGGCAACGAAACAGACAGCACAGTCTCCGTCCTCGTAATAACTGTCTGCTGCTGCAGGATCCTGGAACAAAACAAGTTTGCCAATGATGGCTTGAAAGAGATGAATCTAGTGCTAGCAGAATCCTCAGCCTAGCAGACCACCAGCAACAGAGGGGCTTCGCTGTGTGTGCGCCCAAATGTGGCTATAAGGTTAGGGGATTATGTCAGCGCCCACGCAGAGCCCGATAAGCGATAAGCCAAATTGAAGCCCAGCATACCACTCGGGAAAATCAGATGCAAGTGAGGCTTACCAGCGGATCGCTATGTCCATTCAGAGCTCGGAATTCCGAATGCTGCCTGCCCAATAATAGTCTCGACTTTCATTGGCCGTTGTCATAGCTTGGCAGTGCAGGAAGCATTCTCATTGTCTCTGACCAGACCAGAGTGCTGTCACGTGACTGGCAGACTCCTGCTGTGGTTTTACATTGAGTTGCCAGCCTCTTGCTAAGTGAACAGTCCGGGTTCAGTTCTTTTTCATCATCACGATATTACTCATTTGTAGTCCTTCCATTCGCCGCATCACATCGTTCTATGATACCAGGACCGTGTGGATATGTATTCTAATCGGGGCCGTGGCGGCCCGTCGCGCTCAACGCCCGCGACTGTTCTGTGTCAAAAGTGCTTAAAACGAGATAAGTCTTAGAATCCTAGTTGCTTAACTACTATGGTATTAACATTTCTAGCACGTCACTATTCATACGAGTGCAAGGTTCCCGCCCAGGAACGCCCTTACACATCAAGACCTTCGCGGTCCCAGCAACTTCGCAACCCCAAGTTGATACCTAAACTAACAAATGATGCACTTAAGCCGCTAGAAGACAAGTAAGCACCGTCGTGGCCTACTCGAAACACTTCTGATAGAATTCCTCTAACCACCATCCTAGGAAAGGAGTAGCTGATGAAGAGCTTGCAAAGAGGGAGGCGGAGAGGGCTAGGAAGAGAGAGGCGGAAGAACGTGAGGACAGAGCCTTGCGCTCAGATACAAAACACCGCAGATCTCCCTCAACGGACTCTGTGTCCACCATTTCAACTGCTGCTTCCGCCGATTCTCGAAGGAAGCAGGAACATGACCGGAATCGCAGCGCAGAGACATCATCCAGAGGTCGTCGTCTAGAAGATAGGCGCAGCCGTTCACCTCAAAGCTCGAGGTCCCCTGGCAGAGATAGCCTCTCACCACCGCGTGAGAACTCAAAGCGATCTTACCGAGACAGAGACACGAGAGCTCCCCGCGACTCGGAATCTGATCAAAGGTCCAAACGCAGGCGGTACTCTGAAGATTCAAAGTCTTCTCGTGGCTCAGACCGATACTCTGAGCCAAGAGCTGTCCCAAGGGATCATAGAGACCAGGGTGAAAGGCACATCCGAGGTCAAAATCCGGGGGCTCGGCCCAGAGGAGGATTTAACGACAGAGGTGGGAGGCGCCACGAGCACGATGTAGGAGAAGGCAGAGAACGAAGCCTCAGCCCCTTTAGCAAGCGAGAGGCGATGACGCGAGGAAGAGGTTGAGATGACGTGGTATTATAGAATGGGTATCAACATGCGAATTTGGGATACACACGTCCAGCTGTCCTGTAAAAGCAAGGGGAATGACGTACAGGCTTGGATATAGACCGCCTATACCTCGTCTTCTTCCTGTTCCCTTCTCTCTTCCTCCTCCTCCATCTCTCTGACCCTCAGGCCCTCGACCAGAGCCACGCCATCCATCCCAGCCGCCTCACCGTCCACGTCCCCATTCTCCTTCCCAGGTGCTGTTTTAGTCGCTTTCTGAGCCGCCGTGATTCTTTCGCGGACTAGTCTAGCAATTGCATTATCCGTCCGTGTGTTCAATATCTCCATCTTTTGTTCTAGATTTCTCTTCAGATCCCAATTCGGCTTCTTGGGCTGTAGCTTGAAGAGGTCGACGCCCTTGTCATCTTTTGCCTCTTCTTCAGCATGTGCTTTCACTTCCTCTTCGACTTCTGCCGCCTGTTCTTCCAGCGTAGCCTTCTCAAGCGCGAGAGTCGGCGGTGCCTCGAAGCCAAGCTTAGGGCCACGGGTTTCGGGGTCGTAATTTCGACCAGAGAGATGTTTCGTTGACACGTCCGTTTGTTCGAACGGGGATCGTGCCCGGTCGGATTCTGGTGCGACAATCTCGTCGTTGGGCTGCTTTCTCTTCAGGTTCCTTAGGTTCGCGAGCCGAGCCTTGCGGTCGTCTGAGGCCGCGCTCAGGCTTGTGAGCGAAGACATGGTGGTTGGTGCCTTGGCGGGGTCTCAAAAGGCGTTTCCGATTATGTTTGGCTGGTGTCAATGGCTGTACACTTGGAGATGCTGAATGTCTTCCCTATTCGCTTCGATTGGATGTTGTTTGCTTGTGGTCTTCACGAGCTCTGTCACAAAGCAAAATCGATGTGGGGCGCTCTTTGCGCTCCACGCTAAATATTACAGTGGATACACAAAGGGAAAGGATACTTGCTCGCTACCTCATTTGTCGGGTAAAATTAGACTCGCGAGGCTGTACATTTAAAGTACTGGCACTAAGTCCCGGGTAGGCGATCAACGCAATTGCATTTCAATACTTTTTTTCCGAGGACCGTCTTTCTACGTAACGCACTGCAATCTCCATGACATTTTCTCTCATAAGACCTCTTCATAGAACTCTCACATTCGCAAAATGGTGAGATAGTTCCGCGGCTAACACAACCCGACTTCGGCGAGATGAAGACAGCATATGTCTGTCGCGCTTGCAAACGAAAGCTTAAAGCACCACCTATACCCCAAGCCAACAGGTGTCTGGTTAGGCAACCAGCGCGATGGTTCACGAATAATACAGCCGCTCCTAGCTCCCGAGAAGATGCGGGTGGCTGGACTCAAAGCCACGGAGAAAGAAACCGTTTCGCTGGCACAGATTCGAGTCTGTTTGTGGCGCCCACGAAGAACAAGCGGAGCCAGCGTGCACAAACAGGGAATAGGGAAAGAGGCCGATTGATCGATGATAGCGAGGTTTTGACGGCTCTCCAAGGATCGCCGGTATCTGGGCCTGAAATACCAAACACCAATCGGCTCGCTGCGACCAAATCCCGGCCAAAACGTGCTCCTGCTCAAAAAATACTTCCCTACCGCAAGACCAAATCAGGGGCTATTTTTCGTCGACAAGACCATGAGGCTATCAAAGAGAAGAAACGGATTATAAGGGAAATTCAGTGGGCTCAGATAAAGAAGTCCATCCAGGATCAGCCCAGGGCCGATTTTCTTCGTAACCGAAAAGCATTTGTCTACTGGAAAAAGCATTTTGTGAGATTACACCACTGGAAAAGTAATCCTCGAAGGCCGGCTTGGTCCAAATCTGGCGCATGGCTATGGGACCTCAAGAATTTGGAGGACATGCAGCGTGCTTGGGAGGCCCTGGATGTTCACACCCGGGAAGAAACTTGGCCAGGCTTGATGCTCTCAACATTGTTCTCACGTCCTGATCTGGTACACCGTGTACTACATGCCACTTTGGACCCCTTGCCGCCCTCTTACGCTGTTCAAGATGCGTTTTCAGTCGTTGTGACAATACTGTCCGAAAAACAGCCCAGAGATCATTTAGGGCACCAAAGACAGACCGAAATTTCGGAGCTCGTGCAAATACTGGTGGGGTTAGCCTCGGACTCATATCAACCATTTATGCAAGCCTCCCTCGGAATTTTTGCTAAGCGCTCCTCCAACTTCCATGTGAAAATAACATATGATGCATTGAAGGCTGCCAATATTTCATTGAGCCACAATACATCGCTTCAATATGCCAGCAAATTGGCCGCTTACACGGACTCTGATGGCGACAAGTACAAAAAAGCTTCATTAAGTATCCTTCTGGATGCTGCGGATAATGGCCTGGATCTCAATTCTCCCAAGGTGGCACCTTCTATCAGCAAGCTACTTCGCTGTGGCCACTTAAAGGGCCGTCAGGATGAATTTTCACCAGATGCCGCGTTGCATGATTTGATTGAAAGAGGGTTCCTCCCCAACACCGCTCACACGAACTCTTTACTTGGTACTCTATGTCGGCGTGGCCAGGTTGATGAGGCCGTGAAACTCGCCAAGTTGTTTATTCAAAATGGGATTGATTTAGGCACTCGCTTTTATCACGAGTTGTTCAGTGCTGTCAGAGACGGTCACCGAAGTGAACGCTTGGGAGAGGTACTCGAACTGATGAAATCAGCAGGTATGAAAGAAGAGATGATCTTGAGTAAGATTCTTTCTGCTGTCTACTCCTTTTGCGCAAACGAGTTTCGGGCGAAAAATTACAGTCCCGTGCAGGAAATGCAACCATTTCTCCATATGCTTCGGTTATATGAGAAAAAGTTCCCTCTGGGACCACTTCAACGACTCATCCCAGAATCACTGCCACTGCTCCTCATGCCGAAGTCAGAGGCATCCGACCCTAAGGTCTCGAGCGTGTGGGACTACGAACGAACAGTATTGCCAACGGCTGGAAAGTATGTTTCTAACATGAGCGAGAAACCTCTGCATCCAAGCATGGATACCATTGGCATTATGTTCAAAGCCTACATTCTGAGCTCATGGCGACAGCCTTATGAGCTCCTAGCTTTGTACCAACATTTTAAGGAAATGCTCGAGAGTGGCGACAACTTTGCCCGCGCACTGATTAGTCGACAAAAATCCCGTGTGCATAACTCTTTCCTATATGCCATGTTATCTCATCAAGGGCTTGTTCGGCCAGCTCTCCAGGTCTTTGGCGACATGTTACATGACGAGCTGTGGGAGCCAAATGCAGATGGCTCGACCTCTGCCTCGCAACGAACCCCATGCCACCCCGAGCCCAGTATATACACTTACGGTGTTTTACTGGAAGGGTTGTCGAGGCGAAAGGAGATGACAATGATGAACCAAATTATGAAAATCATGGAGGAGAATCACATCAAGCCAAACCTGGTGACCATGAACACGCACATCAAGAGCCAGGCTATGGCTCAGAATGTGAGCACGGTAGTCAATTTAATGCAGTCCCTGGAAGCCCGAGGCTTTGAACCCGACCAGTTCACACTCGATGCATTCGGCAAGCTGCACGACAAGCACAAAAAACGAGCATTGAGAATGATTCAGCGTATCATTGATGCAAAATCTAAACTCCTCCAGCAACAAGAAGTTAGCCAGGAGGCTACGGCCCCTTCATAGTCCGCAAATATCATCACAGGCGCCTGAAAGGATTCAGGATGGTATTTTTCAACCTCCTGAATATTGTAAATACACCAACCAACCTTCTCCCCTGTATTATAGAGATAAACATAGAGATATGCATTTTCGTAGGAAAGAAGCCATCCTATATAAGGAAGCTAGAAATTCACTCGCCTACCCAAATAGGGATTCTCCGTAATATATTTGAAATCGAGAGTTCATTCTAATAATTAATTTAGGGACGCGGCCGCTCCCGCCAGATCAATAGTGGTTTGCTACATATAGCCTACCTACCCTGTACGCTAACCCTGGGTTGAACGAATGATGTTGTATTAAATTGTCAAACCTGCTGATGACGGATCTTCTCCGGGAAATATCCATGCTCTTCTCTTTGAAGATTTAGCTTGTTGGATTAGGAATGCTATCGTTAGGCGTGCCAAAATGCCTGATCCAGAGCTGTCGCAGTTCACCACTGTTTTCCGCGCATCCGAACCTCGACGCGTAAGACGGGGGCGGCAACCCCTATCATGCACATCCTGTCAGAAACGCAAGTCACGATGCGACAGAAGACAGCCATGCGGTGCCTGCGAGAAGAGAGGCGATTTCGCCTCGTGCAAGTTCGGGCCGCCTGGCGCCGCGGACTCTGCTCGGGGGCGGCGGCAGGAGATGCAGTCCCGGCTGGCCAAGCTGGAGGAGATGGTGAGAGGCCTGGCCGACGAGTCTGCGAGGCTGAAGAGCGGCTCGAATCAAAACGAAGCGCTCTCTGGGAATCAGACCTCCGCAGTCTCTCTGGCCAACACCGATTTCATCCAGAGTGGTGATGGTCATGGCAGCAGCTCGGAGTCCAGGTTCTTGGGCCCGACAAATTGGGAGGCTTTGGTCGAGAGCATCCATGATATCAAGTCCATCCTGGAGGCAGAGCAGGATGGATGGGATGAGGACAGGCAGAATGAAGACGGGACCCCCCAGCCAGAAGATAACGATATCATTTTTGGGGACGTCGAGCCCGTGACGGTCGCCGAGGTGCTCGATATGTTGCCGTCTCGGCAGGACACAGACCGGGCCATCGGCGCCTATTTCAATGCCAAGTTCATTGCGGTGCCGTTTATCCATACGAATCATTTCAGGAGGACATACAACGCTTTCTGGGACAAGCCGGCCTCTGCCAACCTGCTCTGGATCAGCATCCTGCTTTGCATTGTCAGTGTAGGAACCATGATCCTCAGACTCAAGAGCAACACCCCAACTTGCCCAGAAGCCATTGGCCAATCCCGGACCTACATGTCCATGGCGGCCCGATGCCTCGTCAGCGGGAGATATCTGAAAGCAAAGGTGTACTCTGTGGAAGCGATGCTCATGTATGCCCACGCCCGTAACGCCCAGAAGGTGGACGCAGATCCCATCATCTGGCAACTCTACGGGCTTGCAATCCGCGTCGCCCAGAGACGTGGATATCACCGTGACCCCATCAAGGCCTCGTTCAAACTCAGCCCCTACGAGGCCGAGATGAGACGTCGAGTTTGGTTCACGCTGCGCTCATACGACATGCTCGCCTCATATCAGCAGGGCATGCCCAGCATGGTGCATGAGGATGGTCACGACACGGATCACCCGATGAATCTGACCGATGACGACTTTGACGAAGACAGCGTGGTTTTGAACCCCAGGCCAGTTATCGACCCATTCCCCATCACCTTCTATGTCCAAAAGTCGACACTCCTACCAATGCTCCGCCGGGTCATGAGCCATGCCCTGGGCATCAAGCCGTTGACATTCCTACAGGCACAGGGAATCGCCCGAGAGCTGGGCGAATGGCACATGACCATGCCGCCCTGCCTACGATACCGCAGTTTCCGCGAGACGTCCTTCACGGACCCCAACTACACCATCATGCACAGGATCATGCTGGAGCTCATGTACCGGATCAGCATATGCAATCTATTCCGGCCATTCATCATCGACCCAAACCCCTCCGCGAAAGCAACGACCGGCAAGCGCGCAATCGAGCTCTGCCGCGACGCAGCGCTGGGCATGCTGCAGATCCACATCGAGCTCGACCGCGAGATCCAGCCCGGCGGCAGGTTCTTCGAGGAGCGGTACATGGTGTCCAGCCTGTCCCTCCACGACTTCCTGGTAGCCTCCATGACGCTCTGTATCGAGCTGACGCAGTTCACCCACCTCAGGTACGTTTGCACTTTTCTCGTAATCAAAGCCCAGCAAGACCCCTCCTCCTTTTCTCCCCAACCATGGTTGCATCGGCTGACAGCTCACAACAAACAAAATAGCGCCGAGGAGAGGGCTGACCGCATCGCCATCCTCTGGACATCCTACCGGATGTGGCTGGCGAGGAGCAAGGACTCCGCAGACGCCCTGCACGGGTCCCAGGTCCTCCGGGCCATCCTCAGCCGGATTGACACGACCGCGACCACGACCAGCCCGTCGTCCGGCCCCGCGTCGTCGTTGACAGCCCGCAGCACGCTGCAGTCCGATAGCGACGACACCGCCAGGATGACACAGACGAGCCAGGAGCTGGCCTCCGAGCTGGGCATCTCCGAGGCCAACTTCACCAACATGCTCAACTTTGACGACCTGCCGTCCCTCGAGACCGTCTTTACGAACAACAACGAGACCACATACTGGGTCAGTACGAATCTTTGCTTGTAAATTACAACTTTGAGACTTTCTAACTGTCCTCTAGGGTTCCATGGACCGATATCTACGTCAAGACACGTCGGTAGAGGTCTGCCTCGATTTGCCATACCTTGATCTTGGGATCGGCAAGTCTGGGGGTGTGTGATGACACTTGTTGTATGTTGTAAAGCAGCTTACTATGGATTAGACTCCCCTAGTAGAATTGGACTGGGCGCAGGGCAATACAATGTGTAGAGATTACTGTACGTTTCCCTAGCTAGTGGAGCAGCGAGTCGTTGGCACCGCTGAAGCCAAGTCTATGATAGCTGCCCCTCTCACCAAATGCATTTCGCCTTTGTTATGAAAACGCGGGTGGTCACAGAAGTGGCCACCCGCCCGCCCTTTGGAAATGAGACCTGCCCGTTTGGAAAAGAGACCTCGAATGGAGCGTGCCAGACAACCCTTTGCACTGTTTCGCTTTCCTGACATCCAATGATTTAGGGATGAAAGTCATACCGAGAGCATGTTGCTATACATTCACCGAGCGAGCGAGCGAGCAGGTTCGAGTTGTAAATAGTAAAAAATGATAAAATAAAAGACCATCGCTTTTTCTTTTACCCACTCAAATATTCATATCATAATCACCTATCTAATGCATGCATATCATGAAGACTGCTCCCACCGTAGGTATCTAGCATTACAAGACCATTTCGTCGTTGCACAATCCCATAACGTTCAAGTGAAGAACGATATAACAAAAAAGAATAAAGATAAAAATAGAGAAAAAAAATTAAGAAAAATAAAGAAAAGAGCGAACATACTAGCCAACACAATCACACACAACCGGCATATCGATTGTGATGGTTAGAGGGGTATCTGTCAAGGCGACCTGTGAGGCAAAGGCGGTCTATGTAGCAATGCCACGAAGGACACGCGCAGGGTTCCCAGCAACGACTGTGAAAGGAGGGACATCCTAAAATCGAACCAGTTAGAAAGGGATATAACAGATGTTTGTTGATTGCGCCTGACTCACCTTGGTCACCACCGAACCAGCACCAACAGTGCTGCCCTTTCCGATGGTTTTCCCTGCCAGAATCATGGCTCCGCCCGCGATCCAACAGTCTGGCTCGATTGTAACGCCTTTGCCTGACTGTGGTCCTTGACCGCCTTGACGTCGTTTGGGGTCAATTGGTAAGGTCGCAGTGAAGATACTAACATTAGGGCCAATGACACAATTATCTCCAATCTTGACCTCACAGACGTCATTGATTGTACAGTTTCTTCCTATTGAGACGTGACTGCCAATAGTGATGTTGTAGCCATAGTCACACGTAAACGGAGTCTCGACGGCCACATTTCGGCCAACACGCCCAACATGAGTCCCCGGCGTTGCTTCTGACAAAGCTATCCGCACCGGGTCGCGTGGCTGAAGAATCTCGAGAAACAGGCGAATCCTTTCGCTCGTTGAGAGTCCGTTTGAGGGAGGTGCTGTGAGATTGTTGAACCGCCAGCATGCTGTGGCACAGCGCTCACGCTCTAAGCACAACTCCTTGTCAAAAGGATAAAATTGTCGGCCTGAGAGCATTTCTTCCTTCTGTGTCCGCCTGTGGGGGTGGGGATACTGTGAGTGAGATAAGGCAAGCTGAGCTGCCACCTGGGCGTTTGACGATTGGGGCTGGCCCGGCGGCGCTGGGCTACTGGTTCTGGTAGCATGGAGAATATTGATCTGAGGCAGTTGGTTGCCTGGATGAGGTGTTTCGGGTTCTGATCTACTCAAATCGTGCATTGGAGGCACGCGCTGGTATTCCTTGGCCATTCTGTCGGCGAATGATGGAGGTTGAGGGTTTGCGCTCACTGGGGTAGGGAACGCATTCGCGGGCGTGTATGGTATCGCGGACAGTTTATTATCAGGGCTGGCCACGGACGCGCTTGGTATTGTTGATGCTGTAGGACGGTCATCATCCGAGACCAAGGGGCGGCCTTGTGGGGGGTCAATCCTGAGGGCCTGGCCTCGATAGTGTGGGAGGGGTTCGCGCTTTACAGGCTGGTTTCCATAGGGACCTTGCTGTGGCATGCCGTATGCACCGGGTGGTACATAGCTTGGATCTTTTGATTCTAATGGAACCGTGGGCAGTTTGTTTTCAGGCTTTTGCCATCCAGGGCCCCTCTGCGGAGGGTACCCAGCACACTCGAAACCTCCTCGCAGGCAATTCGCACCTATCTATGGTTAGCACATCTGGCAAAGAAGCCATGCCGTAGTAGAGCTGCATATGTATGTACGTACACTGGGGTTTTTGCTCATCGCATTTCTTCTTTCTCTTACGGCAAGTCATGCAGCCTGTCTTTGTCCGATTACTGAAATTGCGCTT